TGTTGTTTTCGTAGATACATGTATGGAATATTTTTCAACATCGTTTGCGGGTGTGCGTCTCCTCCCATCCTACTGCGTATAAAGCAATGCATGACCCCTTCTTTCTGCCTTTCCCCCCCACTTTCCAGCTTTGTCCAATGTCATAATAATCATTTTTGCTAATAAAACGGCTAATAAAACCTCATCAAAATTAGTTCCATTAGTTTTATTACTTGCCTGTCAATTTCTGTGATGATTGGACTTACCGTAAGTGCCATTGTTCTGTGTTTTATAAAAAAATTAATACATTGTATAAATTGACCTCAGATGCACCAGGCTTTGTGCCCTTAAAAAAAATACATTGTTGAAAATTTAGCTGTTGGTGAACCTGGCTTGAAATGACCTACATTTACATAGCAAGCATGACATGCGTGCAGTGCATTCCAGTTTTTCATTTGCAGTTCGCTTGCGGTTATTTCGTGGGCCAGTGAAAAACCAAAACAGCAGAACCTGAGAGCCCGGTCACGCACTCTCGTCGTGCAGGATTGTAACAAATTTACTCAGTTACAGACGGAGAAAGAGTTGTAAATTCGGCTGTTGGCACGGAGAGCGTGAAATTGGGAGCAATGAATCGCTTTGCGAGGGCATTAATTTAGGAAGAGGCGGAATACCTCATCACCTTTTCTTTTTTCCTTGGCATTAGGACACACCAAACTTGAGTAAAAACTCTTTCAAATAGTTTGACCGGTAACTCAACAAGGTAAAAAAAGTTGCTACATTTTTGCTCAACTAAATGCAATCACAATTTATGCCATCCCATAACCATCCCATAACCATCCCATATCTTTTATAATCTGTCTGAAGGTTTTCTTGGATTTGGTCAGATTGCCTGGTAAAAATAAAACAAGGACAGACACTATAATTTTGCATGAAATTTGATGCCCTCAAAACTTGTGGTTTTTTTGGGTATCAGTGGTGGATTTTTGTGGATTCTGTTTCGAAACGTTTCTATTATAGCGACAATGCACCATATGTAGTTGATCAGTTCAATTTCACAGACAACATACATGTACTTAGACAACATATCTCATTTTCCCAACATGAATGTTGGTGGGTCTATTGTTTATGTTAGCTGACCCGTGATGTCATGGGCCGTGGGTACTCCCCCGCCCTTTGCTTGCTGACGCCACTCAATACATTTTTAAGGGCTCTTTGGGCTTTGTTCCAAGAGTAGTTTTATGTACATGTACGTACCGTACATTTATGTTTGTTGCAAATGATCCGCATGTTTTGGTTATGGAGTTTCCATTTTGTACCATTTTCGTTTTTCTTGCTCAACTAATTCGGAAATTCTGTCCCTGTCATTCAGTTTGCATACATGTATTGCACAAAAGTTCGATGTACATGTACCTCACATTTTTCAAATGAAAGTATGTAATAATCTGTTGTCAGGAAATCAAAAATTGTTTTCTTGGGTTTTTTTTTGGTGGAATTCAAAATTGTTTTTGTGGATCTTGCCTAATTATGCATTCATTTTCTAATCCAAACACTCCTCAGATATTCAAAGAACATTTCCCTTGCGCTTTACCTCACTATTTTATTTATAGACGCTCGTATTTTACATGTGGTCAGCATTCTCCCCTAGGGATCCTAAATACTGCACTACGGAATCCTACACTACATACAGCATTCAGCAGACTATGGGGAATTTTAGTTATTACTATATTGCCACTCCAAACATGTGTTTTGATATATATTTTTTGTGGGAAGCCAATTGTTTTGCGGTTAGATGTAAGTGACATGGCCTCGTGACGTGACCCCCATTGGAATGCTCGGAGGGGATGCGTTATATTGAGAGCCGAATTTACAGTTGCGGTTCAGTTTTCAGGGGAAAGGCCTTCGGAGTTGGTGAGGTGTTGTGTCGATGTCGCAGTTCACACGTTACTTTTTTGTTTGAGGAGTGCGGTTCGGCATACAGGCATTGTGTCTCGGTGTACCCTGCGCTGTGACTTTTATTGAAGGTAGGTTTTGTTTATTGTCATATTGTCGTTCTGAAAGAGGTTTTGAGAAAGGCGGTTGAGATTTTTCCTGTTTCTTTTTTCTTGTGTCTTGAAGGTCAGCGTATTGATGGGTTGTAGCAGCCTGTAATGCGGTGCCCCAGAGTGCGGACATTCCATTATGAATGCCTGCTAAGGGATCACCAGACTTTGTGGTGTTAGTGTAGATCAGCCATGGTACAGACATGTCACTGTGTTTGTCTATGGTGCAACCATAGTGCAACTGATGTCTGTCTGGTATTCTAAAAGCTGTACATGTGTAAAATCTACAGTAGCTGCTATCGATAGCTACATGTATGGTGTGTGTAGTTTGCTGAGTGGAATTTTCTCTGCGTTTTAAAGGGGCACTAGGTCCTGAAATTCCTGAAAATTTCATGTTTTGGATTGTTTACTTAGCCTATTTCAAACATCTTTTTGAAAGGAAACCAACCTAATGTCTTACCGTTCCCGAGAAAAGATTAAAAAAACCCGCTTGTTTACATCGGACACGACAGAGTACGAATAAGTTTTTCGTGTCGTTCTCAGTGTACGATATACACATTGTGTGTCTCGGGAACAGCGGTGACCAATCACCAATGCAAAAAAAGTGGTTTCTTCAACATCCGCAAAGGGCGAACACTTTATGAATGAAATCACAACTAGCATCCAAACAGCTCGAATTTATGGGGTCGCAAAAGTGGACCCTAAAATTCGTTCTTGCACGCATTACACAGGAATAACACAAAAACGCCCAGTTTTGAAAGGATAGTTGTGTGGATGTTTATATCCTACTTTTAAATGTTATTTCCGATTAACATCATCTCGTTCAAAGCGCGTTTTGTAGCCCAATTGGGCTGTTCCAGGACCCAGTGTCCCTTTAAGGCATCATCTTCAAAGAATCTGTTTTGTTTAAAACCGAGTTTTGTGGACATTTTTTGTTTTGTCTTAAGTCATGCAGGTTGGGTTCAATTCCGAGTCCTAGTCTGAAGGATCGAGTCCGAGTTTAACTCAGTTCTCGCTGAGAAATTGGGGGAAAAAAAATTCAGGAGCTAACTCAAAACCTGCGCTGCAGCCTCCTGCTTACATTTCTGCCTAGTTAAACACTGTGAGAACATCACTCAGCTCGGCGGAAACAACTGTATCCCGTTGGATTTCTACTACCTAAATTTAGACATTGAACTGCATCTTTAAAAAAAAATTGGGGGGGGGGGCGGAGAAAGAGAATGGTCCCCAACAGGTAAAATATCACTGCAGATTAACAGTACCCAGAGGTACACATACCCAGATATGCACCAGGACAGCATTTTTTTGAAATTGGTAACATATGTTCTCAACTCCTCACTACATTCATGTGTCTTTCCATGTTAATCTGGTTCAATGATTTCCATTTCATTGGATTGTGTTATGTCATGCAAGGCGAAGGACCCCCTAGCGTTGTGAACACTCTGCAGATTTTTGTTTGGTTATGGGTGACACCCCAAATTGTAGTCCAATAGGAAAACTTTGTAGGCATAATGTCATGTGTCCAAAGGTCTTGTGGCTGTTGGGTATTTTAAGCCCATTTCACACTAGAGCCTCTCAACCCGGGTTGAACTCAACCCTGGGCGAACCCAGTGCCGCCCCGGGTTTGAGTTTTTGATTGTTCAACCCTGCGTTCAACCCCGCATCGTTTCACACTTGTTTCATGCAAACCAAGCTTATCATGCTCAGTTACTACTGTTTTGAACCCTGGCGAGAGTTTCAACCCGGGTTTAAAATCTCAACCCTGGTCTGGAGCAGGGTTGAGTTCAACCCGGGGCGAAATCAACCTCGGGGTTGACGCAGGGTTGAAATTCTTCAAGTGTGAAACGATGCATGTTTTCAACCCTGCGTCAACCCCGAGATTTGTTTAGTGTGAAAACAACTTTATTAGTCTTGAGCATTCAAATTTGAAGTTGTCAGGGTAACATGCATACTTTGCTTTATCGTGTAATTTTGGGTAAGTTGTGGTAATATTTGTTATATTTTTTACTCATCTGAGCTTTGAACAAAAGTCTTTTTGTTCTTAGTTGTTTGATTTTGCTGCTTTCTGCAGGCTTAACCCTAACCCCCAAGGCCCTTTGGGATAGGAAACATCCTCAATCCTCCAAAATCATCTGTTATTTCTTGAATTTGAATTTGCTCATGAGAGGGGTGACCATTGCCTCAATCCTTCAAAATCCTCCAACAATCACTGTTAATGGGTTGAGGCAGTGCCGATGACATTCAGAAGCAGTGCGAAAGATATCGAGCATAATGTAGGGCTCAATTATGCATGACTGAACATAAACAATGCTGGGTACAACCTATGAACCTGACACAATGCATCCTGCAAAATTAACTGACACCTTTTTTGCCATTCAGCCTCAATCCTCCAAATTTTCCAAAACCGCCAGGAGGATTTTTGAGGAGGATAAGGGGTAATTATTAAGCTGTTGTGGTTTCTAAAAGTGGCAACAACAATCTGATGGAGTCACGGTTAATTAATTTTCTCTGTATAAGTTTCTATGCAAAAACTACCCTCATGTACCGGTATGTATGCAAACATCAAATGGTTCATGAAGTCATACCCATTACAAGGTACCGGTACATGTAAACCTGGATTTACAGATGCTTTGCATGTCACGTCATACATGTACGAAATTGTTTGTTATTCAAAACTCGCGATGCCTGTACGATATGGATTATGGCAGCCTCGTTTTTCGCTTTAAAAAACCCTGTATCTTCGGTTGTAAAGGGACGAAAGGGGTATGTACATTTAATACAAATCTTTGCTAACTAACGCAATGTCCAAACCTTATGTTTGAAAGGATTGATTCATCAAAATCACAACTTTCAACATTTTAAAGATGGCGTCGGCACGTAAAACGGATAAACTAAAGCCTAATTATAATGTGCCATATTTTGACACATTTAAATTAGACAAATCCAGGGGCTGAGATCGCGCAAGGCATGATGGGAAACAACATGGCGCAGCAAGATCTCGTACCCATTGGAATTGAGGTTTGAGACGGAACAACTCTTGCTTTGACATCCTCCCAAGAAATGGGTTATTGGGACAACCACTCGAAAAATCAAGTCAAAAATGCTCTTGACCAAAATGTTCTTAGATGTTACAAAATCGGTGCTTTGACTTTTGAAACATTCAGACAACAGGTGTTACCCATGTTTGGTACTTCACATGAGCTGTGGTATTTTATCAGCCGCGTCATAAACCTGAAGTGAAAACGTCGGATGAATGCGTTTGACATTTCAACAATCTTCAGACCCCTGCAAGCGATCTGTCTTCCTTATCAAAAAATGTTGTTTGTCTCTGTTGTAATCGGAGCAATGTTTATCACTTTCCGACATTCCGATTTCATTTTTTCCCTGTTCAAATAGAGGTGATCCGTCATTCTATCATACCGGTACGTACAAATATGTTGTCTCAAAATCAAAGTTGTGTTAGTACCTCCAAAAGTTGTGTTTCAAATAACATGCAATATTACTTCACGAACATTTTGATGTTTAAAGTTGACGGTTAAATTTCAAAACATTTACCAAATGCATTGCAACCCCAACAATGTGTCTAGAAATTTGTTGTGGAACTTCTCGCATAGTTCAAGATGCACCTTAAAAGAATCAATTTGGGTCAAAATCAATTGACTGTGTACATATGTACATGTAAATTATATGAATAAAAAGAAGAAGAAAATCCAGCTCAAAGTGTTTTGAATTATTTAAAGGGAATATACAACATTTGCAAACATCGAAAAATAAAACTACCAAGTTTTTACGAAATACATGTAAATGACAGTCTAAAGCATCCTGTAAAATAATGGCACCTGGTGTGAAGTCGTTTTCAAGGAAATGTTTTTTTTGTATACATTTCCAATGGTGGTCGGCCGTTGGAAAAACCCAACTATTTTTCAACTACTGCTCCAAATTTACCTTTTTTTCAGTCCAAATTTTGGTTGCTATTGGTTACATGTTCATGAACGGCTGCAGGCCAGCTAGACTGGTTCCCTTACCTTACAATTTTCCGGCAACTATAAATTGATCCATTTCAGCTTTAGTGGAGTCAGGGAATTAGACTACTTGAAAATGTTTTTGTTTTGTTTTTTGTTTTTCCATTTTCGAACACAAAACTTCAAACATGTCAGTGTAAAAAATATTTGATCTATTATACTAACCCCTCAAATAGTTCATTTCTGAAAATTACAGCAAAAGCCAATGATGTACATGTACATTCCCTTTAAAATAAAAAGTCGAAAACAATTATTTACAGTTCACACAAACAATGTTTGGACTGTGTGTCTGTTTATTTCCCCTGAGGCGAAACAAGTCAAATATTTTTATCCGAAAGAATTGTAATAATGACAACACAGAAACTGAAACTGGCTATTGAAACTGTCAAATCAAGTGATTCAGACACAATGAATTTCTGTTTTATACAAGACCACATTTTACAGTTATGTGTATTGTGGTTTTTTGTTCTCTTGTGTGAAGGTTTTTTTTGTATTGAGAGTCCTGAAAACACAAGCACTCATGAGTAATACACTACGAAACTGAAATTTGACTACCGGTATCTTACATGTAAATACATGTACTTTGGGAAAGCCCCCCCCCCCAAAAAAAAACAAAATCAAAAGGAGAAAAAAAATCAACCTTATTCATGAAAAGAGGAAATTCATAGATCATCTCTGAAATATTGCCACATGTAGCAGTTGGGACTTGGGAATGAAAAGTTCCAAAATGGAAATATCATTTTCATCAGGTTGTCAAGATTGATTTTGTGAAATAAATTCACAACCTTGGAACAGAGTAAAAAAACAAGTTGGCGCGAAAAAGCTCGACAGCAAAATGAACTACATTATAAATACATACATGTACATGTACATTTTTGTAAAATGTATACATGAACATTGCTATGGAGCTGTTGTGCTATGATGCAAGAGGTCAGATGATTTCGCCAATTCATACAATTAGAATACACTGAAAGTACAAAATTTGACTAGCATCCTTATTTGATTACACAAAACCGCTTCAAAATGCCGCAAACATGCGTGCATATTGCCTTGTTTTGTGAACCGCAAAACCACTGTCACTATTTCTTTCATTCTCGCTGGATGACATCACGGCCATGTGTGTTTGGTTTCGCTCAGTCATATTTTCTACCTGCCAGTAGTATCTGGAAAGCATCAAGCAGTGTGCCAGGGTGGGCCCCTCTGGTGTAGGTGTTGCGGGCTCTGTTTGTTTATCCTGTGGGGCACCTTGCTTCAGGTTCAGGGGGTCCCATCAAGCATTCTCTCTGCTCAGAGGTAATTGTGTCTCAAGACAGGGATTTTTTTTTTTACAGCGGTTGCCATGGCGACGTGAAATGTTGAGCCACTGTGAGGTATTCAGATACATGTATGTGTAGTCTGGTACAAGTGTAATGTACTCTACACTTTCAGTTTTCACTATGTGGTGCAAATGAACTATACGTGCTTGTCCATACGGTGCATGTAAAACTGAAAGTAGTGGTTGTTTTACTTTTAGTTGGGTTGGACAAAATAGAAAGGAGTTTTGGTGTGTGCTGACTACTGTTTGTTGGTGCTTGTTTTCATTACTGCCCAAAGAATGTGTATATTGTACTTATATACCACGGAGAAAGGAATAGACTAATATAGGCCTAATGTCCGTACACCTTTGGTATGCATTATTCTGTTGTACTAGTGCAGTTGAGATTTGTTCTTTAGTTTGAGAATAGTGAAGGCATCCAGGAATGAGTGGGCCCAAAACAAAGCTTGAAAGAATTTTTTTGAGTTGCTGGTGAAATAGGATTGACCAATTTTAGAGTTTCTATTTTTGTGTTGTGATTTACAGAGGGGACTTGTTTGGTGCTTGTTCAGAAACCATTCGGAAAAGTTATGAAGTACAGGAACATCCAAGCTTACAATGGAGGTTACATTTGAAATTGCCAAAACTTTCTTTTTACTTAGCTGTTTTAATTTCTTCAAGGTTATTCATTGGGTGGGCATGTTTAGCTTACCAGTACCCGGTACGTACAGATTGTGGTCACTTTCCATTCCCTGCCTTCATTATCAGAGTATCAACAACACAAGTTTGGAAACAAAAATAAACTACCGTACTTTCTGTTTACGAGCAGTGTGGGTGATTCCATGAAACTGCAGTGACTTACGAAAATACCACAACTTGTATGTTGTGGTAGTACAAAGGACAACACATGTGGCTCATTAGTATAGTACACGTACATGTACCACATGGAGATGTTAACCCTAACTCCCTAGCATGATTTACTAGGAACCATACCCATCCTGGCAAATTCCAACACACATATTTCTGACTTTGATTCCGGAGGTGGGCCAAGCCAATGTAAAAGACTGTCAGTTTATAGGGGAACTGTACTCATCCTGACAGATTCCAACAAAACATGCCGTTGGGTTTGATGGGTTGAGTTCTGTTAAGGTTAATGTACTATTACGAAGGCCTCAAATGTACATCATGATTAGTAGACACCTCGGAATGCTTTTAACAGTGCCCCATATTTTACTCCCTGCGTTGGGCTGACCTTCCAATAAATTACATCACACCTTGCATTGCCAACTGCCTGTAATGGTTCACTCTCTCCTACAAATCCCAGAAAAAAGAAAAGATGGATCTATATCTATTGCACATCCGTGGAATGATAAATGTACCCATGTGGTTTAAACAGGATGACAGGAAAGCTTAGATGAGAATGGAAGAGGTGGTCAGGTTTTGGAGTTGCGACCAGGATAAGGCCTCAATGTCTAGGCTCAGAAAAGTCATACGGACAGCGAATCAATCTTCCTTCCGATTTGTTTATTTGACAGACTTTTCGCCAGCGTTGTTTTGAGGTTTTTTTCTCTCTGCCTCAGATACCCATGAACATATCGAATTGGTTGACTGTGTTCAGAACGGCTATGTCTGAGTTACAATACATGTACATGTATACGGCTATGGCTCAGATACCCATGAACGTATCAAATTGGTTGACTGTTCAGAACGGCTATGTCTTAGTTACATGTATACGGCTATGGCTCGCAATTACACATGTGTCTATGGAAAGCAGCCGAAGCCGCTTCCCACATATCGACATCACCATAGCCGGGTAATTGGGACCTGGCCTATGTTCTGAAATGTGAATGATGACACTACTTGTTGTGTATGATACCGGTATTGAGTGCACTTGTACTTTTCAAACTGTCCAAATTATTATCAGGTGAAAACTATTAATGCCCAAAAGTTTGCTTTATTCACAAAAGCGACATGTCAGTCTTTCATTTGTCATTACGGTTTACAAGTATTATGTGCCAAACTTTTGTTGTTTATTAAATTGGGGGCAGTTATGGTCCTGCATTGCTACGTGTTGCTTGTATTAACTAAATTTTCTAACGCAGCATTCATGAAAGTTAACTTGTCAATTAAACTTTTGGCCAAGTTCGGGCAAGGACCATTAGTCGACTAGTGGTTGATTTGTGACGTACCTTACGCCTGCGCACTAATAGCAAAGTGCGAACGTCTCTAGTCGAACGCTGGTCAAAATGTCATTGCAAAACGTCTGGATCCTGGCTCCCTGCTGTACGTTATGAACGCGCGCGGCTATGGTTACCAGCGAAGCAACCAACCCCAGTAGGTTGGTTCCAAATAGTCGACTAGCGTAGTTAACCATCGTCGACTAGACAGAGTTCGGGCAAGCGTTAGTCGACCAATGGTTAAGTATAGTCCTTGCGCGAACTTGCCCTTTGATTGACTGTTTATTTTTCTCCTTGTTACGTTTCCAGACTGATGATTACTGGGTCCGAATACGAAGCTTGAAGAGCGAAGGGGAGGAGGCCATATTGGACACAGACGACCTGGTCTGCGATGTAGCTGATGATAGAGAAAAGGTATGGGTACCACAGATTCCTAATGTACTAACTGATAAGTGCATCAAGGTCACAGACTGAAGCCACTTGGGCGCCATCTTGGGAAGCCTAATCGTATAGAAATTATCTGTGCATCAAATTTTGCGTATGTTTTATCAACCAACATTAAAAGCAAAGGGGACGAACTTGTGTTCACAGGAACGGAGTGCCCATCTCTCTTTCTGAGGGATTGGGCCAGACTCGATATAATGCTGCTGTTGTGGGTGGATCGCCACACCTCCTCCACAGCGAGTCTGTTACCTTCCCAGCATTGAATAATGCCGGTACCCATTTAACACAGGTTGAGAGGAGCAATTGAGGTAAAGCACCTTACTCAAGGGCACAACACGCATGGCCACGGCGGGGCTCGAACCCACAATCCCACAATCACGAGCCCTGTGCTTTCCCGCTAGACCACACATGCCCTATATCCAACATTGTGGCGGCCATATTGAGAGGTCAATAAAGTGATTTTGGCAGCTTCATCACTCTGTGTACAGTGATCTCACAGCATGACTGCTACTCCTGTGTGTGATGTACTCGACTAAAACACTCCCATAAACCCATATCAGAATCATAAAGTTGTTTCTGTACTTCCGTCAGGAACATTCATGAAAATTACTTCCGTCAGGAACATTCATGAAAATTCCCCCCAAAAATCCCCAACCAAGAAAGTGAAAGACCTCCTCTGTTTTGTTGATTTCACCCAGAACCTGCCCCTGGTGGAAAAAAAATGAGAGCAGAAAAATTCACCGTAATTAATCCTTGTCGAAAATAAAAGAGGAAATCCGGATATTACTTTAGGTTTCACCATTCCCAAGTGCACGCAAACACGGATCTAAAAAAGTTCCCCGTCACACCTAACGGACTCTTTTCCAGCGCCCCTTAATAATAATACCACATAAATTTAAGTGGTTTTCCACCAGGGATGGAATTAGGGAGCTACATTAGCTTCACTTCCTACCCAAGTGGTAAAAAAAGATGACACTAGGGTGTTGGCGGGGAGAGTTTTTTCGGTCGGCGAGGGTTTTGGTTGAGGAAGTGAGGACATGGTTCGCGACCTCTTCATGGGAAATGCAGATGGGTTGGCTAAGGGGAGCGCAGTTGGTGGTAGCATTTTTTTTCTGCAGTGTAAACTTTTGCCACAGAAAAACAGTATTTGTGTGGGTTTATGAAGTTTTGAAAATGGAATGTTTCTGTGTCGAGGGCCGTTTTGCAAAGCCAGTTGTATTTGAACTTGGGGAGGGGGGGGGGGTCAGGAGATGAGTTTTGTGGTGTGGATTTTTTCAATGACAGTAATTTATATTTTGAGCCAAAATGAATGAAACCTTTTGCTTGTTTAAATTTGTTTCCAAAAGGGAATCGTAAATTCAGATTTTTCACAGCCCGGCAAGGTGGACAGACGTAAAGACGGACGGAAATAAAATAGAGATTTATCGGATCCCCAACCTAGCCCATTTTCCCTGACCTACACACGCAAGGCTCCGTAAATATTATGGTTTCAGAAGCTTACCATGGCAATCCTCACTGGGAGAGAGTCTGGCACCTCTGCAGTGGTTGTCTGAGATTTGTATTTCAGGAGATTTGGATCAAGACCAATTCTCAGTTGAGTTAATTGTTCCTCATTAAACATTATACTGACAGTATAAGGGTTTGACAGTTCAATTTCTTAATAGAGTGCTGGTACTGTTCGGGAAGTTGAGGTCCGAATCCTGTTTTTACTCCAATGTTTTTCATACAGCGGAAGAATGAATGGAAGAGAAAGTATAGTTGTGAATTTCTCTTATCTGTTCAAATGAATGATTTATGTTACTCATGCCTCTTTTATATTAGGATGTGTCCCAGAACTTGCCCTAGAATACCCAGCGGAACATAAAAAGCAAATGCCTTGAGCCATAAATCTTGTGGTATGTGCCGGCCTGCATAAGTACCACAACAGCCCCTCCTGTGAACATGAATGTAAACTTCAGTGTTTAGACTGGGAGTAACAGGTGTCTCATGTCTTATGCAGCGCTGGTGAGGTGCTAAGCCTGGCCAGGATTGACAGCCATTGATAGCACACAAATGCCAGACAGGACTTTCACAAAGGCGAACTCTCTATTGTGAATTCCTGTGTACAAGTACAAGTACGGTACACCCACTCCCTCAACTGTGACTTTCACACTTATCCCAAATCTCTAGAACTCAAGATTCTGGGTACCCATTTCACACTAACTTCGATTTACTTCATGTATTTGGTTGGGGGTGGGGGTGGGGGGACAGTCAACACGGATGGGGGGACTTCCAACTTCCAAGCTGCTGATGATTCCAGAAATGTATGCACATCCATGGGTAAAATCCAACCCTGGTCGGGACCAGGGGGAATAGGCTCTATCCAGGTAGATCATGCAAAATCCACTGCCGACCCATTTAGTGATGTAAAAACCAGTGTCGTGTACATGTACATGTACGTGAATAAAAGTATGTCTTGCCAATCAGTGTTTGAGCAAACCTAGTCCCACCTACATTTATGTTGGGCTAGTGTTGATTTCCATACGTATGAACGAGACAGTATGATGAAAAGCCTAAAGGTACAAATGTCGCATGTACTTTGCCGCCTGTGCACCAAAGTGCTCACGCGACAAACTTAGTCTGGCTAAGACTAGCGCACATTCCGATGAAAATGCAGAATTTGCCTAAACCTTCATACATGTACATACGTGTATGTAAACAGTCTTCCCAGTTATTGAGTTTAGCATTAACTAACTCCTGAGGCCCGCTTTGCTAGGAACCATCCTCAATCCTTCAAAATCCTCCAATGGCCCTGCCTCTCAAATGCATTCAGCCTCAATCCTCCAAAAGCCTCCTCTTCAAACACCATTCAGCCTTAATCCTCCAAAAAGATTGCATTCATCCTCAATCCTTCAAAATCCTCCAACAGCCCTGCCTCTCAAAATGCATTCAGTCTCAATCCTCCAAAAGCCTCCTCTTCAAACACCATTCAGCCTCAATCCTCCAAAATTGTAGATTGCATTCATCCGCAATCCTCCAAAATCCTCCAAAACCGCCAGGAGGATTTTTGAGGATTGAGAAGGGTTAGGGTTAATAATAATACATTCGTAGTCATACATTGTTTCATATGTGACCTACACTATTTGTCAAGCACACCTTGGCAACAACCCTAGCAGGACCAATCCCGAACAAAGTCTGGCTCAACATTTATTTCGCGGTATTTCTGATTTCTAAAGTCTCGATGGGGATTTTTTTATTGCCTGAAGGAGGAAAGAAATATTTGTTCCCTTCTCTTGAATCAATTGCCCTTGGAATTAGTTTGTTTCTTCCCGTTGTTTACAAATCCCTTGAGATTGGTTTGTAAACTTTCTGGGGCATAAACACTGAACTTGGCTCCTGTCGGCCTCGTTACCGCATGCCAGCCAAAGTCTGGCCCCCTTACCCTGGCTCCTCCGAAAATGCCATAGAGGATCACCCTTCTTGGAGAAAACAAATGAGCCAGGGCAGGTCCATCTGTCTAGATTAGCAAGCCGGAGTCAACAGGGAGTGTCTAGGACCATAGAGCTCAATTGAGAACCCTAGTGGCGGCATGATGGGTACTTCATTTTATTGGACAATAATTTATTGTTTGGGTCATGGTCAGTGGCCTTAGGCAATCCACGTTACCCCAACTTGCCCTTTTCCACCCAGAAGAATAAATGAGAGTGCTCTGTGGTCCAGCAATATTGAGGGGAGCCTTTGGGACTGGCCAGGGCTAGTTATTTTAGGGTGATGGGTTGGAGTCTAGCTGCTGGCCAGTGGCCATGTTCTGTGTCCCTTGGCAAGTCCCTTTACCCCAACATGCCTTATTCCACCCAGGAGAAGGAATGAGCTATGCCCTGTGGTTCAACAGTATTGAGGGGAGCCCTTTTGGACTGGTCAGGGTTGGTTGTCTGACTGAGGGTCATGGGTTTGAGTCTAGTGGCTGGCCAGTGGCCATGTTCTGTGTCCCTTGGCAAGCCACGTTATCCCAAGTTGGCCTTTTCCACCCAGGAGAATAAATGATCCGTTCTCTGTGCTCCAACAATAGTGATGGGAGCCAAGGCTTTGGGACGGGTACATGTAAGGGTTGGCTGTCTGAGGGACATGGATTGGAGTCTACATGTAGCTGCTAGCCAGTGGCCATGTTCTGTGTCCCTTGACAAACCACATTACCCCAACTTGCCCTTTTCCACCCAGGAGAATAAATGAGCCATGCTCTGGTCCAAAAATATTTACATGTAGGTGATCCTTTGGGAGGGGTCATGGTCTAACCAAAATTGAGGAAAGCCTGGTGAGTAGTCGTTTGGTTAGGGTTCATTATCGGAGGGTCAGGGGCTCAGGTCCAGTTGGTGGCTGTGAGCTGTGTCCTTGGGCAAGCCACTTCACCCTAACTTTCTTCTCACAGTCAGAAGTATTAATAGACATTTGGTTGGGAATAACTCATGACTCTCATCAAAGTTTTGGTCATGTCATGTGAAAGGAACAGAGTACAAATACCAATTTCAACAAATGATTTTGTTTCATTACACCAATAGTAAACAAATCAAGCTCCCTAAATACGATGGCATAGTACCATGCAACTCTAAAAAAATATTAGTACGAAAGACCTTCACTGAATAACATTTCAAAATCTAAAAAAAAAATTCTTTAATTATTTTCCCCCTACACTTTCCACAACCTGTTTTACGTTTTCACTTGAGAAACTAATAATTACGGACGTACATTTGTGCTAGACTGGCCTCTATTTCAACTCATTGAAATTTGAAAAGCCTCAGCTACATGCATGGTTAGACGTCAAAATTTCACAACAGAAACCTTTATTCCCCTCGCTGACATTTGCGCAGTTTGTCACTGAACTGTCAAGGCTGAACTCTTTTTGACAACAGCAATTTGTTTCGCCCAAATGATAAATCACCCAAACTCCTTGGTTTACAAAAAATCTACTGTCAGATTGCAACAATACTTGAGCA